TTTGGCACCACCAGGCCAAATGCCGACCCAGTGAAAAGGGCAGATAACATCTTACTATTCATATAAAAATGGTTTTGACCCTGTGGACGCTTGTGATGCTGTGGATACTTGTAACCCTGCGGACACTTGTGAAAGAGTCTCAGGGACCACCCCCGTCCCCCCTGCCACCTACCCGTCCTAGGTCTACAGATGGCACTTTCCAAACTGCTGCATTAGGCTTTAAATAACAACTCTGGGGATTCAAGGAGGTGGCATGGCTTTCCAACGCCAGTGGGCACTACTCGGGATGAGTATATATAAATATTTCATTTCTGTCTTAGAAGAGCAATTGAAGTGACTCTATGAGGGTAAAGGTTAAATTAAAGGCACAGCCAAGCAATGGAGTCTCTGATTTGAGGATTGGGGCGGCGGGGGCAGGGGGGGGGTGTCAAATGACGTGTCTTCTATCCCCTTCCTCTGGCTGCTTTTCACTACCCCCTTAGCCCTTCCCTCTCCTTCCTATCTCCTCTGACCTGGGGAAGGGGATAGAGGATGGCAGAACATACTTAAGCCAGGGGTTGCAAATTCAAATGCCTACAGGGGCCAGCGGTATAAACAGTGAAGTACTCCACCTAAAAGAATGTGGGTCCAGTGTTGCCAAACCTTAGTCTTCCAAAACGCCAGAAATCCAACTTTTTACTTAAAACTCTGAAACGTTGGCAACTAATTACATTTTAAAAACATGAGAAAACAGCATGAGTCAAACAAAATAAACCAGTCATCAGCCTGCAACCTCTCTTTAAGTCCCGGAGAAACGTGGACTAAATGAAACATCATGTGAAAGTCTGGAAGGACAGAAAACCTCACATATAAAATTACCTTGCTCACAAATCCCTCCTTTGAACACCCCACAGCCTGATTTGGTTTCTACAGCCTGGCCAAGGAATAGCAGAGGGAGTCATTCCATGCCACCCTGGGAGTAAGAATTTCCAAAGACTGTTTGCATGGGAAGGACAGAACAAATTGATCATCAAAGCAGTACTCCCTTCTGGCAAAAATGGGGAGAGAGACACACTAGGTAAGGAGAGAACATCCACTCAAGCTAGACGGTGTTGAGTGATACATATGGCCTGTGTCCCTGTTTACTGTCTGTCTTGGACACAGTCCTAGGACAGGACTTAGTCTTTCTTGTTCACCCTTGTCCCTGCTCCTCACTGCCTGGCACGCATATATAGTGTCTGAACATGGCATGCACTCAATAAATATTTCTAAAAATGAAAGAATGAATATCAGTGTTTTTCATTATACAAACAAGAAAACCAAGATCCAAAGAGGATATGCTGTTTGTTCAATATCATTTGGCTAGTTGGGAAAGGAACCCAAACTTCTGTGTTCTTTCTGCTAATTTTATCATCTGAAATTAAATGAAAACCCAAATTTTAAGCCCTTCCTTGTTGTGCTATTGGATAAACTGCCCTTCAAGATCCTAGAATTCCTCTCTTTGCATTTTGCTATTCTGAGTTTAATGGCAGCAAGGTTTTCCATCCTAGCTTCCAACAAAACTTCTAGGAATGCATTTTCCATGTAGTACCATGATATTTTTAAAAAATCTATCCAACACAGTATGGAAAGACTCCCAGAAATTAGATTAGTTTTACTTTGTGCTGAAGACAACCCTGTGGTCCTATGGATTTTCCTCTAAATGCCATATTGCCATATATCAACAACTACCAAGAGAGGCAAAAAACAACCACAACAAAAACAAAACAAACAACAACAACAACAAAAACCCCTGAGCCTGGCGTAGTTGAAAGTGGTAATTATACATGCTGCTGGTGCATAAATTGTTCCAATCCATTTGGGGGGGAAATAGCATAAAATGAATCATAAAAATGTTCATACCCTATAATACAGCAATCTCATTCCTGGGAATTTGCCCTAGACAAGTTATTCAATAGAAGAAAAAAACCACAGACACACAGATGTTCATTGCATCACTAATAGCAAAGGACACAATAAGAACAACAACAACAAAACAAACAAACAAACTACAGGAGAAAATGGCTTGGTAAATTATAGTACCTGCTGAAGATTAATTAGTCTTAAGCTGTTAATAATAATAATCATGAGGACCAGGTAGTGATACAGAAAAATGTCATGGTATTAAATGAAAAGCAAAACACAAAAGGATTTGTGTGCTATGATCATCAGCTTTGTAGGGAGCTATGTCTCCATGTAGACAAGAGCTGAAAGGTAATATTCAGACATAAAAACAGCATTGTAGGTATTATGATTCAAGATGTTTATACTTATATTTTAACATCTTCTTTAATGTTTCACTGGCTTTTCTATTCCATGCAATTTTTAAAATCCTTTCCGAAATAAATTTGGATTTCTGAGTTTTTCTAGAATTCTCCCTTAAAAAGAACAGAAACCCTGGCTCTTCCCATCTTAAATTAACAATCCTCTACTTGAAAAAGGAATGATGCTGTGGATACTTGTGACCCTGCGGACACTTGTGAAAGAGTCTCAGGGACCTCCCTCCCTCAGGGAAAGAGGGAGTGGTCACTGAGGTAAAAGCAGATCTGGAAAGAGAAGACTAAAGACTAGGTAGGCCCAGGCTCTGTATCTTCGCAGCTCTGTAGCCTCTGGCAAGTCACTCAACCTTCTGGGCCTCAATTCTCTCATTCTTATTCATAAAATGGGGCGGGTAGTGTTGACCTCTCAGGCAGATGCATTTTGTAAACTGCAAGGTATATTTGGCTATTATCACTGTGGACTGCAGAGTTCTGGGAAGAAGCAGAATATAAGGTGGGCCTTAAAGGTCGAGGAAGATTCAGGATATCTGCTCAGGAAGAAGATGAGCACTACAGGCATGAGAAATAGCGCCAGCACAGGCAAAGAGGCGGAATGGATGTCTCAAGTCTGGCTGCCGTAGAAAGCTCGGGTAAGAGGAGAAGCTGAGGTTGGTTTGGAAAGGCAAGTGGGCTGTGTTCTGTTGGTAATAGGGAGCTATCCAACTTTTTGATCAAGTAAGTGAAAGGATGAAAGTTACGTTTTGGGAAGGTTAACCTGGCAGAGGTGTGAAGGATGAAGGGATTGGAGGAGAGTTAGAATGCAGGCAGGGTGACCACAGGGTGACTCAAGGTAAGAGACATGATCAGGGTCTTAATGAAGGCAGCAGCACAGGGGCTTAACAGGAGGAAGAAGATTTGAGATATAGAACAGAAGGATATGGTGACAGTGTATTAGGGGAAACGAAGGCTTGGGAACAATTTTTCAGGTCTCCGTGACATCACTATCTAAGTGGACAAGGGTGCCATTCACCAAGATGTAGTATAAAGGAGAAGGCACCAGTGAGCAAGGAAGATTCAAGTCTTTTGAACACGTTTACCAAGTTTGTCTGTAGAACGTCCAAGGAATAATAATCAGAGATTAAGTAAATACATGAGTGTAGAGCTCAGCAATAGAGACGTGAATTGAGGCCACCCAAAATAAGCTCACCCAAGAAGATTGTGTACTGTGAAAAGTTAAGAGAGGCAAGGACCAGAGGCTGAAGAAGATCAACACTTAGATGGTAAATAAAGTTATAAGAACCTGAAAAGACTGAGAAATGGCCAGAGAGTTAGGAAAAAGGCAAGAGTTTCTATAAAGAAGTGAAAGAGGTGAAGTACAACAGAAAGGAGAGAACAAGTGGTAAAAGGAATGGGAAGAGTTGATTCAATTTGGTATTTGTTTAATTGATGATCTGAATAAGAGTGGTGTGCCTGAGGGCTAGATTGCAGTGGATGGAACAATGAATGGGAAATGAACAAATAGAATTCACAGAGTACTCTTTTGGGGAGCTTGGCTGTAAAGGAAAGAGCAAGGGTGGTAGGTAGAAAGCAGTCAGGGAGAATTTACGGTATTTTAGCTAAAATATATTTTAGCTGACAGGAACGAGGCAGGGAAAATACACACACAGAGTAATGGAAAGAATGGGATTTTGGACACCGGTTGAGACTTGAGAGATGGCTCTTCCACTGAGTGAGGTGAGAGTAAGTACAGTCACTTAATCATTTGTTGAACATGTACTACATGCCAGGAACTGGGAGTGCGTCGGGAGAAGAAGATAATCCTGAACCATTAAGGAATTGGGTCAGGTAGGGAAGACAAATGGGGTGGACAATTATATGTACTAGCTTGTGTGGGGCACAAGTGGGGAGAGTAGCAACAATGACTGAATGGGTCAGAGAAGTTTCACAGGGTCGAGGTTAAGCAGCGGTTCTCTGGTCCAGGAGAGAGGATCAGGCCATGTCAAGTAGGTTCAGGTGAAAATTAAAATTTGGTGGTTAGAAAAAGTATTTAGAGAGTCTGGATTAAAAGGACCATAAAGCAACCAGGTGTACAGGTCCCTGAAGTATGAAGGATTGTTCAAACTGGGGATGCCCAGGATGATAGCACAAGGGCAAAGGGGAAATTAAGACCGAGCACCCCCTCGGGAATGTGGGTGAGCAGGTGCCGGTGGGTGGCAGACACCTAGGGAAGGACTTCAAAGGGAGCAGAGCGAGACACCCGGTGGGCACACCGAGGGTCAAACAGGGCCTCGCGACTCCTCACTGCGGCCAGAGGACAAGCAAGCAACAGCTACCGCCAGAGCCGAGCAGACCACAAAGAACGCGAGGCCCGGGGGACGGTTCAGAACTTGGGCGTTTGGCAAGGAGCTGAGATACGATGGCCTAAGCGGGTTCCAGGGCCAAAGCGCCGCGGCGGCGTGCACCACACAGCGCCCCAAGCCGCGGATTCCGCGACAGCTTTCAGCCTCTGAGCCTGAGGGAACGAGGACTGCGCGGACAGAGTAGCCCGACCGCCACCGCCACCGGTAAAGACAAGACATCCCACAAAAAAAGGCAGAGGGCCGCGCTTGCAGCCACGCGAGACCAGCGAGACCCGCGAGACCTGCGAGACTCAAGAAACCCCGCCCTAGGCCCGGCCTCCCGGCCGGAAGTGAGTCTTGTTGGCTCCGCCCCCGTTATCGGTACCTCGCGAGATTTCGCAAAGGCCTCCCTTTTCGGTCTGAGCTGCCGACATGGTAGGTGGTTCGTTTTGTGCGTCCGATTCGTTGGTTGTGCAGGCCGCGAGCCTTACTCGCGTTGCACCCCGACCGCCTACCCCCGATCTTGGCCCGGCTTCCCAGGCCGCGCATGGCGAGCCTCAGGGCAGGGTGGCCGGCATGGGCCCCGTAGTCTGGGGCCGCGTGTTCTGCCCGGGGTTCGGATCTCTGAGACACGCGGGCTCAGCGCGCTTGGGCGCCGCCCTGATGAGGCCGCGTGGCCTTGGGCCAGTCCGTAACAACACCTTTGCTGAATGTGACCCGAAGCAGATCCTTGACCCCCCCCCCCCCGAGCCTACAGACCCTTCGCAGACGGTCAAATTCGCATTCTGTCCCACCTCCCTTTGGCCTTATCACCAAGCACCTTTTTCCATACAGCCATCCAGACTGAGGAAGACCCGGAAACTTCGGGGCCACGTGAGCCACGGCCACGGCCGCATCGGTAAGTGCCGGCATCCCATCCTGGTCGGCTTTGAGCTCTCCCCGCCGGGTGCTTACCTAGCCGGGAAGTGGGTAGGGTAGAAGTGGGTTCGCTTTGTGCGGTCAGTCGGATTGAATTTGACTGTTAGCGGTTGATTATTTTTTTCTCTTGGAATTCTCTGCAGTACTCCATTTTAAGAGAATTTCACATCAATTGGGGGGAGGAAATTTGGTTGGGGCAAAGTTAATTTGTCGAAGGCATGGAGTACTGTAGATAATGTTGTGATGTGGAACATTACAAAGAGATGTTTCACCCGGAAACTTGAGGGAATAGCAGTGGTTAAAGAGGAATTGTAGACTGGGAACAAGGTAAGAAATACGCAGAATTGTGGGAAAAGGAGAATGGAGAAGCTGGAGAAGGCTACGTTAGCCATGTAGCTTTGTATTCTTGCAGGCAAGCACCGGAAGCACCCAGGAGGCCGGGGTAATGCTGGTGGCATGCATCACCACAGGATCAACTTCGACAAATAGTGAGTGTTTCTTGGCGTATACTTATGCTGGCACTGACAGTTTGGAGTTAGGGGCAGAGGGCTGGCTCAGGACACCTTCAGTGCGAAGAAAGCCTCTTAACACTGAAAAACCTTGTGTTGCTGGGTTTTACGAAGTTAACGTTTGATGTGAACTGAGAACTTGTCATCGAGGCTAGAGTCACGCTTGGGTATCAGCTTATTGCCTTAGTGTGCTAGAGTCCTCGAAGAGTAATTGCTGACCTTATTCACTGGCTGTGACCCTCATGACATAGTCAGTCACCGGGTTAGTGACATCAAATTAACTATGCACCTGCTAGATTTACTTATGCCCCCAAATTTGCTTAGAAAAATCTCTCTTACAAGAATGTGTAGAATTTCCATAAAATGCTGTCAAGTGATCTGGAAGACCTCTGGTCTTGGCATTGTCTTTGACTTTTTTTTTTAAGATATGATTTATTAGAGGGAGAGAGCGCATTAGTACGGGGAGTGGCAGAGGAATCCGCAGAGGGAGCGGGAGAAGCAGGCTTCCCACTGAGCCGGGAGCCCGATATGGGACTTGATCCCAGGACCCTGGGATCATGACCTGAGCCAAAGGCAGATGCTTAAACATCTGAGCCACCCAGGTGCCCCATGTCTCTTGACTTCTTCACTGACTTCTGGTTCCATGAAATAAGGCTAGTCTCCTACTCCTGAAGGTCTTCGGTGGCTTTTTTTTTTTTTTTCAATTAGTTCAACAATGAATGGAGTACCTGCTATGTCACTGTTGTACACCAGTGAACAATTTACACTATAACTGGGAGAGATGAACTATGAAGATGATACACTTCTTAATTGGAGTCAGGTTATGAACGCGATTGCCCTTCTCTTCCTAGTCACCCAGGATACTTTGGAAAAGTTGGTATGAGACATTACCACTTAAAGAGGAACCAGAGCTTCTGCCCAACTGTCAACCTTGATAAACTGTGGACCTTGGTCAGTGAGCAGACACGGGTAAATGCTGCCAAAAACAAGACTGGAGCTGCTCCTATCATTGATGTGGTGCGATCGGTGAGTGAAGGAATATTTGTTGACTATGTGGTCCATGCCGCAGAATTCTGGATAATCTAATGTATTTGATCTCCTACCTGGAATTTCTACCCAGTTACCTACTAGACTACCTACCTACCTACCTAGATTACCTACCTAGACTACTCCATCTTTTGATAGCATTTCCAGAGGTAACACAAGAATTGAACTCTAGTTTAGTTGTAATTCATGCAAAATATTTGAAGAAGAAGAATCTTTCCATTTCCTCATTCGTTCAGTTACTTTGTTATTTCTTGAATGTTTCCCAGTCAGTAACCCATCCCCACAGTTTCTGCCCTGATTTGTACAGGTTTGCATTTCTGGCCTAAGCTTTTGGCAGTATCTCCCCTCAGCTGGCTCTGGTCCCTCTTACACAACCCTGCTTACGGGAGGCATGGCTCCTGGCCATTTCTGTCCCTTACAGAATAAAATCCTAAGATGTTTGGTGGTTATGGATCTGCATTATCTGAAAGAGATTTCCGCACACCTCAAAACAATGATGACAAAACATTTTTTTTTAAATATAGATTTTATTTGTTTATTCATGAGAGGCAGAGGGAGAAGCAGCTCCCCACATTGAGCAGGGAGCCCAGTGCGGGGCTCTATCCCAGGACCCTGGGATCATGATCTGAGCCGAAGGCAGATGCCCAACCTACTGAGCCACCCAGCCGTCCCGACAAAGCATTTTTGTATGTTTTTTGGAGTCCTTGTGTCAGTTTTACCTCCCATGGGTGTGGAGGTAGTCTAAACCCTAAAGGGACTTTTGGTTAAGTTTTAAATCCCTTTTCCCGTCCTACTTAACAGTCCTTGAGCAATTTTGATGGTGAGGCCCTTCTTGGAACATTGCTGGGAATGTGGTCTGTCTTTCTGCTTATCACGTGGTAATTGAATAGGGTGGGTGTGCTTTGCTTGAGGCTAGAGTCACATCCTGACACATCTCTTGTCCTGGTGTGCTAGAGTCCTCAGAGAGCATCTGCTGGTCTTGATTCACTGGCGAGGGCAGTCAGTGCCCCCGGTAGTGCCCAGATCAGAAACATGCCCTCCCAGCTCCTAGATGGTGTAGACTGGCAGGCATCTTTCTTCATACCAAGTGAGTTGGTATCTGCTGTGGTGTGTATTAAAGTTTGTTTTTTTGTTTTTTTGTTTTTTTTCTATTACTCTAGGGCTACTACAAAGTTTTGGGAAAGGGAAAACTCCCAAAACAGCCTGTCATCGTGAAGGCCAAATTCTTCAGTAGAAGAGCAGAGGAGAAGATTAAGGGTGTCGGGGGCGCCTGCGTTCTAGTAGCTTGAAGCCACATTTGAGGGCGTTCATTAAATGCTAACAAGTGCTTTTCTCTTCTGGTCTGGGTGTAAATGCTTTAGCACCCCTACCTCCTTACCTGTACATCAGAAATCCACCTAACAGATTCTAGGAGTAAGGGTATGAGGGCCTGAGACCCTCTGCCAACTCCCCTCAGAAAGTGTGAAAGAGAGCACCAGCACTTAGAGGACTTGGCCCAATACCTAACTTGAACATTTTCATTTATAACATGAGAATGATAGCACATGTAGCTGAAAGGCCAGTTTGCATTGTATATTCTGAATTTACAATGAGGGGGGAGAACACACTTTTTAACTGTAGTACAGGGCGCCTGGGTGGCTCAGTTGGTTAAGCGACTGCCTTCGGCTCAGGTCATGATCCTGGAGTCCCGGGATCGAGTCCCACATTGGGCTCCCTGCTCAGCAGGGAGTCTGCTTCTCCCCTCTGACCCTCTTCCCTCTTGTGCTCTCTCTCTCTCTCATTCTCTCTCTCTCAAATAAAGAAAATCTTTAAAAAAAAATAACTGTAGTACATGGTTCAAAGGGGAAAACTCAGGGTTTGTTACGTTTTGTTAAAGTAAGCTCTCCACCCAACATGGGGCTTGAACTCACGACCCTGAGATTAAGAGTTACTTGCTCTACCATCTGAGCCAGTCGGGCACCCCAAAAGGGAAGACTCAGTTTTGATGGGGCACATTCTAAAACGTGGACAGAATGATAGGATTGAAGTGAATTTGAAGGATTAATTTCTGAACCTAAAGTTTTTCCTCCTTGACCCCCCCCCCCATTATTTACCATACCATTCCAGAATCTTGAGGTGGGGCCCAGCTGTCTGAATGTTAAACACACCAGGGCTTTTACACATGAAAGTGGTTTGGAATCTAAAAAGCATTGTCAGGATTTATGTATCCCTGTGCATTAATTCAAAGAACTACATCATGAAATGCTAAAGATTCTAGTCTGAAATGTATTTAGCATAGAATTTGGAAAAAGCTAGAAGCTGGAATTGGGTTTTCTAGGGTTTGTTACCTCCTACAAAACCATAATGATGACCAGTGCTTATGTGCAGATAGGACCTTCAGATCTCAGGGTAAATTGACTAACAGTTTTTCTAGTTCTTCACAAAACTTAACAAAGTTCTCTTTGGCCCAAAATAAAAGTTGCTTTCTAGAACCCTGTCCAAAGGAATAGGGTGACACTTAAAATATAACTAGGTTTCGTTTGGCAGTGTTGTTTCCTTAGTCCTCCGGGGTGATACGTGGGCTGGGAACCATGAGTTTCTATGGGACAAGTTTGTGACAGCCTTTAGAGGATTTTGCAGACCCTCAAGTAAAAGGAAAATGGACAGCAAACTTAGCTGATTGGTTAAGTGCTGGGAAGGTTTGCTCAGTTGGACAAACAAATGGATAATTTGGATGTGTTCTTTGATGATCAGCCTGATGAAGAAAGGTAAAACTGGTTGTCCTTTACTGTCTTTTGGAGGACATACAATATGGAAGTTGAGGTCATGGATCTGAAATGGGTTGTAGTTGATACTAAGAATTTAATGTCTAAATTGGTTACAGTTAGACACTGAAGATACAAACATGTAGAGTAGATGGGGTTTGAGCTTTTGATCCAAACCTTAACAGCTGTGTGTGGCTTAAGCTTAGTCCAATTTTCTTATCTTTAAAATTGAGGATTGTGTGGATTAAGTAAAATGGAAGCATTTACTGAACCTTTTTGACTTACATTGTGAATGATTAAGGGGGCAGACAAATTAATCCCCTTGGTCTGATTAAGTCAAGGCAAAAGGATCCAAGCAGAGGGAAGAGCAAACATGCTAACCAGTTCGGAAAAGTTAAGCAAAATAAGAATGTAGTTAGGGACTTGGCTACAGTGGGAGTTGGGACAAAGAAAATGGGAATGAGAAAGCAAGACGATAGGATTCAGAAAACCCAATGGACAGGACTTGGCAAGTGGATAGATTGGGGTGGGGCTGACAGCTAAATGGTTAGGCTTGGACAGGTGGGATTTAGTGGGACCATACGTGAAAACTAGGCCCTTAGCCAGTTTCTTACCAGAAATTCATTATTAACTGTGCAGCGTCACTATCCATAAACAGGATGGGGTTGAGTGGGATAATATTCACTCCAGTCTTGTATGCTGGTGTTAATATTGCCAAGGAAGCCAGAAGGCAAAGCCATACTTTGATGTTACAAATGAAGAGTGCAGACATAGTGACCACTTGGCTCTTGATGGGACCAAGCGCAAACCTTAGTTTTGACTTTGTATTTGCGTGAAACGGGCCACTGATACAGAGTCCACGCTGAGGAAACAAACGAAGTTGCCAAGCTTTGATTAGTCTTGTCCTGCAGGCACAGAGGCCCACACTGCTACTGGTCTCTTTAGTGGCTGATAGGTGCACAGGGTTAATAGAAGTCCTCCCAAAAAGGGAGAGCAGAGCTTTGTTAGATGCCCCTGTAACTCCGTGGTCTTCAACCATTTGTTTACCTTTTCAAACTGGAAAAGTCACGTCACCTAGCACATCAGGTGGACATGCTTATTTTCTATAAGCTTGAATTGCTAAGGATGTCTGGCCTAATGTACATGTGCTTTAGATACATTTTCATCCAAACCTCGGAGCTGCAGCTCTAACAAGTATCAGTTGGCGATATTGGACCCGATCCCATTATCAAAATCCGCTAAATCGAATTTAAGCTTTCAATTCAAATATGCGTATTCTTACTTGATGGCTAAGCCAAACGCAGTCAGCCCCTAGCCTGAAAACAAGCCTAAGGGCGCACCATCGGCGGAAGGCGTGCAGCATTGGAAGGCGGACGACGAGGATGGCAGCGGCCAGAGCCCTGCAGGGCCTGGCGCTCTCGCGGCTACCCCTGTGGTTTACACTGTCCGACCTCTGCGACGCTGTCACACAACAGCCCCACTAGTCAGCTCGTCTCGCCTCAGCCCCGGAGAACCACTTCCGGAGCGTGTGAGATTCTGGTTCCGGGCACACGTTAACCTTGCCCGCTCCCACGACCGGAAGCACGCACGGCGCCGGTTCCCTCTGTGGGCTCAGCCAGTTCCGGAAGGGGCGGGGCCGGGCTAGTAGCGCAGCGGAGAGACTCCCGGGCTAGGCGGGAGGTTAAACTCTGCCGGCGCCCGGCGGGCGTGGGCCCCTTCAGAATTGGAGGCCGGGCCAACCTTGAAGCGCTTGAGGTCGTGCTTAGGCCGCGCTTACGGAAACATGGTCTTTATACACACGTGAAAAAGGGGAATTTCCAAATTTCCCAGAATTAGCTTGTTAGTTGTCAAAAAGATGAGCGCCAGCTACGGTGTTCAAGGTACCTTGGACACCTGTTTGTATATACATGGAAATGGAAATGTTCTGGGAGAACATAAAACAAGGCATTTTCTTCATGAGCTGCGGGAGGTGAGGGAGATGTATGTTCTGATAGTTTGCGTTTCTTGCTTAACCAAATTCATATTTATATCAAAAGGCAATATAAATGGGCAGAAAATAATTTCCAAGTTACCACTAACTTGTCAGTACCGAAAGTAGTAGTTTCTCTTGGTCTAGAGTTTTCATGACTTTTTAAGTGACACCTACCCCCACCTCCATAGGCAAATAAACAAGATGTTTTGGAATGCATACTACCACTTTGGCTCTAGAAACTAATTTTGTGTATCACCCTTAGAAAGAATAGAAGTTCAAGTGTATGTTTCATTTTGGCTCTATTTTACAGCCCAAGTTTTGTTTTACTTTTATTCCCACTTTGTTTTTTAAATATTGTTTATTTATCTTTATAAATAAGTCACTTTGGGTACAAGTTACAAGTCTCCATGTAAAATAAAGGGTATTATTTTTAGCAAAAATTTGAACTGAGCTGTGATTGTAATTAGAATGATTTTTGGGGAGCCCTAATTCCAGTATGAACTGGAGTTGGAATAATATCGCTTTCCAAGGGCACTCCTTCAAAATATTGCCTTTAAGAAACCAGACTCCTCATTTTGACACTATAGTTTACCAGAGCATGCGTATTTAGTTAAAAAAAAAAAAAAGGGCATTTAGGAGGATGTAATGGCAGCCCGCCCTGCTCTAAAAGTCACCAAACTAAATAAAACCAGGGCCTTTCTCGACTCCATAATAGAGGAAGGCTGACATTCCGTAGGCACTCGGACTTCTGGTAGAGGAGACAGTATTGTCTTGCCCCTGAGTAAGTGCCCTAGGGTTGTCAGAAAGGCAGTTTAAAGACACTTGCTCTCAATGGTGGCAAAACCATCCTCTAGGGGGGGCAGTTTGGAAATGAATGGGCAGTTTTGTCTGTCACAATCATGGAGGGGAAGCAACCAAGGTTGCTAGACATCCTGCAATGTATGGGTTGATTCTAAACAACAAAAAAATCTAGTTTAAGTCTACTTCCATTTTATACATAATAAAAAAAATCCCCCTCCCCCCCAGTTTTCATATACTTCTCTGTTTTCCAGGATTCCAAATGCTGTTTTAGTCAAGGGAAACCTCATACTGTGTTTTGCTCAGAATATTGCCAAAAGTTGTTCAGTTCTCTGGGGCGCCTGTGTGGCTCGGTCAGTTAAGCATCTGACTCTTGCTTTTAACTCAGGTCATGATCTCAGGGTCTTGAGATTGAGCCCCGCGCTGGGCTCCATGCTGGGCACGGAGCCTGCTTAAGATTCTCTCTCCCTCTCCCTCTGCCCCTCCCTACCCTCTAAAATAAAAAGTTGTTCAACTCTCTTACCAATGGTAACACTTACTCAGTAGAATTTGAGTTGCTAACACAACACACTTTTGTCTGTGCATGTGTAGCTGCGGCCTTCACAGTAATTCTATGTACAGGTGTAAGCATCTGACCTCATTATATATTCTAGTACAGCTGTACCCAAGCATTTACATATTTAAATACATGTTATAACAAAATACTTCCTTTTATTTCTCCCCATTTCCCTGAAAGTTAAGGTGTGTTTAGGTTACATTATCTATGAATTTCATTTCAGGATAGTAAGGGGGGGAGTTAGAGTATTTGCTATAGAAAAGGA